CACACACACACACTGGCTGCATGAACACAGTCCACACGCTACAGCCATAGGCTCCAGACACACATTGCACAACACAGCACATGCACACACACACACAGTGGCTGCATGCACACAGTCCATGCGCTACAGATGTAGGCGTCAGACACACGTTGTATAACACAGCACACGCACACACACACACACTCTGGTTGCGCCTCTGGGATTAGTTCGAGGAAGTTCTCGGGCCTCTATTAGAGGGGCGCTCAGACTAGATGATCACAATGGTCCCCTCTGGCCTTGGAATCTGTTAATCTCTCTCTCTCTCTCACACACACACACACACACATACACTCATTGACTGCATGGACACTGCACACACTGACCCTGAATGCACACACACTGATTGCACACACACACACTCACAAGGACTGCATACACTGATTGCACACACGCACTCACAAGGACTGCACGCACACACTGATTGCACAAAAACAACGAGGCGTCCGGTGGCACCTTAAAGACTAACTGATTTATTTGGGCATAAGCTTTCGTGGGTAAAAACCCACTTCTTCAGATGCATGGAGTGAAAATTACCGATGCAGGCACTATTATACATGAAGAGAAGGGAGTTACCTTACAAGTGCAACAAGGAGTCTGGTGGCACCTTAAAGACTAACAGATTTATTTGGGCATAAGCTTTCGTGGGTAAAAACCCACTTCTTCAGATGCAAATCTGTTAGTCTTTAAGGTGCCACCAGACTCCTTGTTGTTTTTGTAGCTACGGACTAACACGGCTACCCCCTGATACCTTACAAGTGGAAAACCAATGTTGACAAGGCCAATTCAAACAGGGTGGATTGCACACACCCACCCACACAAGGACTGCACACACACGCTCCACATTTTGCAGCCTGAGCTGGCTGGGGATCAGGCTGGGCAGTGCAGCCCCTGGAGCAGCTCTGGGTCGCTTTGCTGTGGCTCCCTGCCCTGCACCATTTCAACGCGCGTCAGGCAGCCAGGCCAGGAAACGTGCCCTGGACTGGGCTCTGATCGGCTCGCTCCCACCCAGCCCGCTCCGGGTGGGAACCAAACTACACAGGGTGGTGGCGTGTAGGGAGCAAAGGGTTAACCCCACACTCCTCCCCTTCCCAGAGCACATGGTGCCACCATCAGGGGGCTGGAATAGCGCAGGGACCTTCCTGTCCAGCCCCCCCAGCTCCTCCTGCCCTGGCGGGTCTGCTCCCGAGCCGGACTCCTGTGCGGTGCTGGGCGAGTCCCCGCCTGCAGCCCCGTGGATCGCCCCGGCCGGGCGGTGAGCGGGGGCGCCGGGGAGAAGCAGCCAGAGGCGGCCCGGGGAGGGAAACAGCAGCAGAGGCAGCAAATCGCTGCCTGGAGGACGCGGCCGCAGGGACAAGGGGATCGGAGCCGAAGTGGGGCTGGGACTGGAGAAAATCCCGCCCCCCCATTCAGCAGCACGTGGGGGTCTGTGCAACAGAGCCCACAGGTCCCTCCCCCCCCAACCCGGGGCTGCCTGGGGGGAAGTTTTGAAGGGTTTAATAGTAATGTATCAAACCAGGACTTCCCCTCTTTGCTCCCTGCAGGCAGGATTCCCTGGCCCTGACTCCGCGATCTCCCAGATGCAGCGAGGGGAAGAGCCGTGTGTCCCGGTTCTCCAGGGCGCCGAGGGAAGGGCGATCCCCCGAGGTGCCTGCACAGGTGAGGAAGACCCTCCATGAGTTAACAGCAGGCCCTGTTAGAGCTGGAGATGGTGAAGGCCAGAAGGGGCTGTTCTGGGGATCTGGAGTCGCACCCCAAAGCTGGAGGGCCAGTGTCAATGATCCGCAACAGCGGGGGGGAACCGGGAGGTGGCAAAAGTGGCATCCAATTATTTCGGTTGCTGTAGCGATTCGTAATCTGCCCTCCAGTGTATCCCAAGCCATCAGTGCCACCCACCACCTGCACATGAGCCCAGCAACTAAATTTAACCAAAGTATCACAGCCCACCGGAGGCTAAACTATGAGATGCCACAGGCAGAGAATAGGAGGGACCGAGGCGCACCAGTGCCTGAGGCCCCCACAGTGGAAGGTAAATGATTAAGTGAGAAATCCCCAGATGATCCTAGCCAGTGATCCACAAAGGCCTGATCTACACTGGGGGGCGGGGGGGGGGGTGTCGATCTAAGTTATGCAACTTCACCTACGTGAATAACGTAGCTGAAGTCGACATACTTAGATCTACTCACCGTGGTGTCTTCACTGAGGTAAATCGACAGATGACGCTCCCCAGTTAACTCCGCCTGCACCTCTTGCCCTGGTGGAGTACCGGACTTGATGGGAGAGCGCTTGGCGGTTGATTTATCGTGTCTAGACTAGATAGGATAAATTGACTCCCGCTGGATCGATCACTGCCCGTAGCTCCAGCCGGTAATGTAGACAAGCCCTTAGAGGAAGATGTAAAACACCCAAGGTCTCTGCCAGTCTAACCTGGGGGGGAATTTGTTCCTCACCCCATATATGGCGATTAGTTAGACCATGGTACCTGGGGGTACGCAGAGGTCTTCCAGGGGGTACATCAACTCATCCAGAGTTAGACCCTGAGCATGTGAGCTCGACCCAGCCAGCCAAGCACCAGAGAGTGCTCGGTGCTACCTCAGAGCCCTGTCCCACTGCTTGTGTCCCATCTCCAGCCATGGCCATGACCAGTGCTTCAGAGGAGGAAGACGGGGGGAAAAAAGCCAGCCTCCCAAAACACACTTGGGGGAAAAAATCCCTCCCTGTCTCCTGCCGGTGGTCATAGGGTGACCAGACAGCAAATGTGAAAAATCAGGACGGGGTGAGGGGTAATAGGAGCCTATATAAGAAAAAGACCCAAAAATCGGGACTGTCCCTATAAAATCGGGACATCCGGTCACTCTAGGTGGACAACTGAAACCCTGAAGTATGAGTTTTTAGGAACATAAGACATAAACCAGAAATGAGCCCCGCCCTCCCACATCCCATTTGCACTCAAATTTGTCCAGTTCTCTTAAAATTAATCTTTATTCCCCCTCCCCCCCCCCCCCACTCCCCATTGGGAAGCTGTTCCAGAATCTCACTTCTCTGATGGTTAGAAACCTTCTAATTTCCAGCCAGAATTTGTTCTGCCCTGTCTTGCTCAGTATCCGACCCTCACAGATCCCAAGGCCGGAAGTGTGGGATTTATCTCGTCTTGCCAGCTGTATAACACAGGCTGTTGAACTTCCCCAGAATAATTGCTTTAGAACTAGAGCAAATCTTTTCAGAAAGAATCCTATCTTGATTTAAAACTTGCCGAAGATGGAGAATCCATCGTGATCCTTGCCAAGTTGTTTTGATGGTTAATTCCCCTCAAGGTTAAACATTTACACCATATTTCCAGTCTGAATTTGTCTAGCCTTAACTTCCGGCCTTTGGATTGTGTTAGACCTTCATCTTCTAGATTGAAGAGTCCATTATCAAATTTCCCTCCCAAGATTTCCTCTGAGGGCTCAGCTGGATCGTTGGAGCAAAGCCACTTTCCCTCTGGGGAAGGGTTTGGGGAAATTCACCTCCTACCCATCAGATTTGCCACTCACTCTCTCCCCAGTGAACGAGCCCTGGCTGGATTCTCCCTCTCTCCCAACAGGTGCCAGGATGGAGGTGAAGAGTCCGAAGAAGGAAGGGTCTACGGGAGCTGAGCCACACTGGATGTCCCAGAGCATTAAGCAAGAAGAGGCCAGTGGGGCTGGATGGCCGGAGGAGATCAACGCAATGTCTCCAGAGGAGATCGGCATCAGGATGATGATGGAGCACAACCGAGCCCAGCTGGGGGAGAGCCCCTACAGCTGCTCGGACTGCGAGAAGAGCTTCAGCCAGAGCTCCCACCTGGTCCAGCACCAGCGCATCCACATGGGGCAGAAGCCCTACAAATGCACCGACTGCGGGAAGAGCTTTGTTCTCAGCTCCAACCTCCTGGAGCACCAGCGCATCCACACCGGGGAGCGCCCCTACAAGTGCGACCAGTGTGAAAAGACCTTCAGCCAGAGTTCCCACCTCTTCCAGCACCAGCGCATCCACACAGGTGAGCGGCCCTACCAATGCACCGAGTGCGGGAAGAGTTTCAACCGCAATTACACCCTGGTGAAGCATTACCACACCCACATCGGGGAGCAGCCCTTCATCTGCAGCGAGTGCGGGAAGAGCTTCAGCCTTGGCTCCTTCGCCCAGCACGTCCGCACCCACACGGGCGAAAAGCCCTACAGCTGTGCTGAGTGCGGTAAGAGTTTCAGCAGCAGTTCCAACTTGAGCCAGCACCGGCGCATCCACACTGGGGAGAAACCCTACAGCTGTGGCCACTGCGGGAAAAGCTTCAGCCAGAGCTCCAACCTCATCAAGCACCGGCGCATCCACACCGGAGAGAGACCCTACAGCTGCCCCGAGTGCGGCAAGACCTTCAACCAGAGCTCTTCGCTCATGCAGCACCGGCGGATCCACCGCGGCGAGCGGCCCTACGAGTGCACCGAGTGCGGGAAGCGCTTCAGTGTCAGCTCCCACCTGGTGGAGCACCGGCGGATCCACCGGGGCGAAAAGCCTTACAAGTGCGTCGACTGCGGGAAGAGCTTTGGCTGCAATTCATCCCTGATGAAACACCAGCGCATCCACACCGGGGAGCGGCCCTACAAGTGCCCTGAGTGTGGGAAGTGCTTCATCGACAGCTCCAAGCTCAACAACCACCGGCGCACCCACACTGGAGAGCGGCCCTACAAATGCACCGACTGCGGGAAGGGCTTTGGAGACAGCTCCGCGCTCATGAAGCACCAGAGGACACACACCAAGTAGACACCAGCAGATGGAGAGGGGGGCACTGGTGTCTCTCTAGAGGGTGAAATTGACATGCTCTGGGGATCGGGGGCCTCTATAAGGGAGACATTGATGTGCCTTCTGGGGAGACAAGGGAACCTTTATAGAGAGTAAATTGGTGTCCTTTCTTCCAACTCCTATTGGTCAGCAAGACATACCCATCCATCTCGGAAACCCTGGCCCCTATCCCCAATGTATGCCAATGCCCTTTTGCCTGCAGCAAGCTACAGGCCTGATCTGAAGCCCCTTCCTCCCTCCCTCCCCCACTTACAGTGGATCAAGATGCAGGTGGCCTCTGCGAGGATCCCAAAGTGGCAGGAAATGCTAAGGCAAATCATCCAGCTGTGATGTGTGCCACAGGGATTTGTACAGAGGACATAAGCAAACATAGTGAGGTTTAGTGATTAGCCCTGGGAATCAGAACTTCCGGGTTCTGTCCTCAGGATGGGGAGTAGGGTCTAGTGGGTGATAGCAGAGGGGGCTGGGAGCCAGGACTCGTGGATTAGATTCCCAGCTATGTGTGGGTTATAGAAGGTGAAATCAGAGTTTGTTTGCAGTTGTGGATAGGTGTATAGTTTAGAGCAGGGGCCTGACAATCAGACCTCCTGGGTTCTACACCCAGCTCTGGCACTTTACCTTTCTGTGCCTCAGTTTCTTCGTCATCTGTCAAATGAGAATAATGGTACCCAGCTTTTTTCTAGTGTTTTGAGAGTCATAGATGAAAAGTGCTTATTATTCTGTATTTGATGAGTAATTGTCTAAGCCAGAAGTGACCCTCATTTCACCTGCTTTGTTCATGCTCTGAGTTAGCTGTAGAGCATAGATCTCTAGGTCTTTTCTTAATCTGTTTTGCAGTAATTAAGATCCACGATTGATGTCTCATTTCTCTCAACCAACTAGGAGAAGAAATGTAAAGGGATCCTGGAAAAGAAAATAAAACTGGGGATTGTGCCCTTTAATTTTACTACTTTATGATGCACAAAACAAAGCCTGGGGAAGGGGCGGAGGGAATCAACCTGCTTGGGACGTTAGAAATTTGGGAGTTGTATAACTTGGAAGTCTCTTGGGAAGACTCGAGAATTGGGTCTGATCAGTTAAACCTGGAGAATGGCTTTAAAACATAAGTTAAGGCTAGGAGTTTTCAATAGCAATCTCAGAGGATGTCCATTGTGTGAGATATTTTAGAGGCCTAATTTTCAGGTGGAAGTGCTCAGCATTGTCTGAAAATTGGGCCCCCTTAACCATTAACAGTTGGCCACTGCCTGTCACCATTGAAAGTTTTGGTCCAAATCTTTAAAAATCAAGATTTTCTCTCCCAACATGTTCCTCGGGTAACTGAGGTAGATAAGTGACAACAAAGTGAGCCTCTCAGATTCTTTGCCTGTGTTAATATTGAGCTAAGTCAAATGTCTGCGTCATGGGGTGCTCTACTCACCACAGGAGCACCTCCTTGTGGCCACAGCTGGGGATTAGCTCTGCCAGTCTGACGCCCCTTCCTACACGTGCTCACTCCGTCTGTCTCTCGGGATTCAATGGCTCCCTCTTCGTGGCTTGGCCCCCTGGCCCATCAGTGGGGCCATTTCCCCAGTGGCTGGTAGAGGAACCCAGGCCTGGCCCCTTTTCTGGGTTCCAGCTCAGGGACCCTACCCTGCTCTGTCCCACACATCACTGTTATTTCCTTGGTCTGCTTCCTACATTGTCTCTGTCCAGCTTCCTCTCCATCCTCCTCCAGGTTTGCCTTTCCCTCTGGGCCAAGCTCCCTGCTCTCTCAAGCCCCACAGAGTGACTGTAGATCTCCTCCCTGCAGCCCCTTTCTGCCCTCAGCTACCTGGCTTTCTACAAGCCCTTCCTATTCCTGTCCAGGTAAGCTTCATCCTTTAATTAGTCCTCTCTGCCCCCCTCCAGGTGCAGCCTTGGTGGTTAATTGGACCAACTAGCCATGTTAAGCCCTTCAGAGGTGGTGTGGGGTGAATGCCCCATCAGACATGGTTTTACCAGGTCTGTGCTACATCCTGGCGTTTAAACAGTCTCCTGGGAGTAACCCTTTTAGTGTGGCAGACCCTCAGGGGGACACACAGTTCCACCAGGGGAGGCCATGCAGCCTCTCCGACTCCAAGATTGGGCATTCAGGCTCCAGCACCCCTGTTTGCCACCGGGAGCTCCTACAGCGAGTCCGACTGAGATCAGACTTCTGCGGAGACATTCTCATCTCAGGGAGCGATGCAGCCCATTGCGTATTAGCAGTGATGCTGACCTCTTTCCTCCCTGCAGCGTGTCGGAGGAAGTTGCCTGCTCTTTCCAGGCCCAGCAGCTCAGCGTTCTTGTTCAGTCACTGGGGCTCCCATTATGTCTTCCGGATCTTTCATTCAGGTGTGTTGATTCTTTTCTGCTCCTAAAGACACCTTGGTACCATTTCAGACAGTCCACCTGCCATTCTGCCAGCCCTCATTCCCCGCCCTACTCAGTGTGTAGCCATACAAAGTGCACGGGGAAACTGAGACACACATATGGATCATAAAAATATTACCAACATTCCCATGTACATCACAGCATAACAGACACTCTGGAGAAAAATCTTCTTTGTTAAAAGTTCACCAACCCTTTGCCTTGGGAGTTCTGTTAAGCTCTTGAGCCTCCTCACCCGATGCTTCACAGGGAAATAAAATAAGAACATACATTCCTGGTGTTGCTAAGGTTTAAAAATAAACCCCAGCCCTTCCCCTAGCCCTGTTGTATTTCTACAGGCAAAGTTGTCAATGGGGATCAGTGGGAGCTTTGATGGAGTTATATCTGCAAGGCAGAATTCTTTATAAACCCCCAACAGCCATGTGGAACTATTTATACTTAAGAAAAGATGATTCTTCTGTTCTTGGAGCTGAATAGGTTAGAGGAGGGCTTTGAGTCAGGACTTCTGGGTTTTCTTCCCAGCTCTGGTAGGGGAATGGTGGGTAGTGGTTTAGAGTAGGGGAGGGGGCCTGGGAGTCAGGACACCGGGGTTCTATCCCTGGCGCTCGGGGGGAAGTGGGGTCTAGAGATTGGAACAGAGGACGAAATGGAAATCTAGACTTCTGGGAGAGAAGAGACCAAAGCTTTTTAGAACAACAAGCTAGCACCAAGATGTGGCACGGAAAAGCTGTGATTGAACAATGGGGTGGGAGAGGGGGAAGGAGGAGAAAAAGCAAATGACTAAGATTTTTTCCAAACTGGCTAGTTATTTTGGGGTGCTCAGTCTGAGCCTGATTTTCAGAGGGTGAGCACTGAGCGCTTTCAGGGGAATCACTTTCCGTGTAAGGGGGTCTCCCCCAATTTGACTTCCATAAAAACGGAGACACCCCTAATCACTTGCTGTTTTTGACAGTGGTGGCCACTGAATCTTCAGAGTAACTGGCTAGAATCCCTGCTCTCTGCTTAGCCAGGTCTTCCACCCACCCCTCACCCTCTCCTTAAGTCAGTTATTTGCTTCTTTGATTCACGTGGGGAAACCTTTTCTAAAACCAAAGGAAACCCAGTTTGCTTTAGAGAAGTGACTGCTGTTAAAATGCCCTTTTTAAGTAATATTTTTTAGCCTCTTTTTTTTTTTTTTAAAGGGGAGGGCATGTCTATTTTAATTCCGGGGATCTTTATAAACACAGAGAGGGGAAGTAAAGGGATTGGCAAGATTTCATCTTAGCAGGAAAGAGAGATCTTTTCCCCACAACTTCACAGGACATTATAACCCAGAGATCTTTCTCCCACAGCTTCATGAGTTGTCATAACCCAGGGATCTCTCTCCTGCAGCTTTGTGAGTTGTCATAATGCAGAGATGTCTCTCCAACCGTTTCAATCAACGTTACGAGGCGCTGAGAGAGACAATGCAGGAAATCTACTTGTGGCAAGATCAGGGCCTTCACACTATGTAGCTTTGAAGGGAGGGGTGTTTGAATTTATCTAATGTTTTTCTGTAGGGCTGATTTTTTTTATTTTGTATCTTTTTTTTTTTTTTTTAAGTAATGCTATTTTTCTATCGGTGTCGGGAGCTTCCTGTAGTTAGATCTAAGAGGTGACAATAAATATTTGGAGCTAAAAGATGGCATGTGTTTTTTTTTTTGTTTTTTTTTGTGGTCTGTGGTGTCCAGAAAAAACACAGCTGTGGGGAAGTGAGAGGTCTGTGGGTGTAGGGATTCTGTATGGGTGAACTGAGCTCCTTAGAGGGTCACAGGAAGTGGAGGGTGAGGGTGGGAGGTCAGAGGTCTGTGTGAAGGATTTGAATCCTAGTGCCTGGATTGCTGCAGGGTAAGATGCGGATTTGAAGGAGCATTCTGTATCTCTCTGTCACGTTGGGTGGTGCTCTGATTCCTGGAAAAGATTAAAGGGAAACAAAGAAAATGATGGGAAGTCTTTAATAGAGCTCAATTTCTGTAACCCCTGATTGCATCAGCATTGGGGCAGATTCTATTCTTCATGACTCTGGTGTAAATCCAGAGCGGCACCCCTGACGTCTCTGGAGTCAGGGTTGCATTCTGGTTGTTCTTATCAGCAAATAGGCTTGAGCGTTCTGGTCTCTGTTTGTTCCTTTAAAATCTAGAGCCATGTTCAGATTGTGGATAACACCCTGTAGCACAGCACAGACTCACCCCTGCGGTTTCTTCCTACTGGTCATCCTCAGGAATTAGCTCTTCAACCCAGGAGCACCCTCTGCAAGCCAGTGATCTGCTTGCCGTTGGCCCCCCATGTCCCTCCCAGGACCCCGGTGCCCTTGTCTTGGGTGCTGCCCCCCTGGCAGTACCCCACTGTCTCTGGGTTTCCCCACCCACTATCGCCACTTCACCTCAGTTTTGGCTACTGCCCAGTCTCCATCTAGCCCCCGTTCACTGGGGTAGACTACAGTATCAGCCACTCATCATAGGCAAAGGGGTTTGGACTGGCTGCCTTTACCCACCCTCAGGCTGCCCCTCTGCAAGCCCAATACCTAGGTGGGCCTAAGACTAGGCCCTGCAGCCTGGGGAGTTGCTGGCCTAGGGCTTCCCAGCTCCTATGGCTTTTCCCCAGCCCTGCCTCACTCTAGGTCCCCAGGTGAGTTCCCCAGCAGCCAGGCCTGTCTCCCTCTCAGTCAGAGAGAGACTCTGTCTGCTCAAACCTTTATAGGGCCAGCTGGGCCCTGATTGGGGCATGGCCCCAGCTGAGCCTGCTTCCTCCCAATCAGCCCAGGCATCTGCCCTTCCGCAGCCCTCCTCCAGGGCTGTTTTAAACCCCTCAGGGCAGGAGCGGGTGATCACCCCGCTACACACCCAAAGGTTTTGAACTGTATTTTTAATCCAGGCTGCTACTGAGTTACTCTCAATCCTGTAACAGTGGGTTTCTCACCTATAAACACAGTAATTCAAAGGACTCGATTCTGATCTCTTACTAGAATAAATGCAGCGTGACCCCAGTAAACCCAAAAGGATTACTGTGGATATAAACCACTATGACTGAGAGCAGAATCCAACCCTGACTCCATTCACATAAGTGAGGTCATTCTGGATTTACACCAAGGTCACTAAGAGCAGAATCCAGCCCAGTGATTTTAAACTTATGTTTACATAGTATTTAGATCAGAGAAGGAGCATCTGCTGATGAAACCAGCTGAGGGCAGAAACTTCTCCCCCATTGTTATATTTCTCAGGATACAATCTGGACTGATAAACAGCTGCGTCCCCTCAATTCTCTAGCCTGGGGTGCCTTTTACACTGCTTCACTGAGCTACCACTCCTTTTCTGCTCAGACACAGCCTCCAGCATGTAAGTTACTCCTAGTTATATTGTCTGAGGGTATGTCTACACTACCCACCGGATCTGCAGGCAGCAATCGATCCAGCAGGGATTGATTTATCACGTCTAGTCTAGATGCGATAAATCAACCCCCGAGCGCTCTCCTGTCGACTCCTGTACTCCAGCACTGCGAGAGGCGCAGCAGAGTCGACGGGGGAGTGGCAGCAGTC